TCTCTAGTCCTGTTTTTCACTGTTTCTTTAGTCCGCATTTGACAAAACTTCATTCATGAAAGTTTTATATAATGAAGTCCTCGATCCACCACATTTTTTCGAATTGAATTTGAATCATTCAATCAAGAGATATGAATAAAATGGTGGAAGGTCTCATTCTGAAATCGCAACAGGGATCATCTGATTTCATCGTCTGTTTTCACCTTCTTCCTCTCAGATTCTCACAATTGTGTCTTCATATTATTTGTAGCCCTTGAAGTTGGCTTTCATATGCAACTTGAGTCTTGTCCTTTAGATGCTTCTACAAAGAGATATGTATGAACGATTGACAGAAGGTCATCATGAACGCCATTTTCAATCTCTATTTGTCTTCTTTTGATCCCGTAGCCAATCCTAGAGCTCTTTTGTCATCAAATCTTCATTGTAAACCTACCGGTGACCTACAAATCCCTCATTTCACTCTCGAATGCTTCTCAAATCACCCCTTTTTCTCCTCAAGCGCCGGTACCGGACTCTAAATTCCTGATTTTGACTCCAGATAACACAAAACTCGAACCGACGCCTGATACACATAACTTGAGCTAAAATTGAGATTTGCGACACCTAAAAGTTTGGTAAAACATAAAAAACCGATCCCAACATGCATCAAATACGTGTTGTAATATGGACTTATCAAGGACATTGACTACTACTATTTTCCCAAACAAAATACTTGGGTCTTATAACTTGGGGGAAAGGACTATTCGTGTATTTCATAACTTGGGGGAAAGGACTATTCGTGTATGTATCACCCTATGTTTGGGTCTTATACTTGAAGCTTTAGTTACTCTACATTTAGCTTGCTACTCGCTCGGTACTTGTACTGACCCCTTCGGGGCCCCCACCATTCCAGGTTGAAGCTAAAGCTTACCATCCACACCTTGCACGGTGATGTGATTCGAAGGAAGACGTGGTTCGTGCTTCTTTTATTTTTTTCAAATTACAAACTATGCTCATGGATATTTAATGTAATGGATACATTCTTTTGAGCCTGCGAGCCCACATTTTGGCCATGTGTGGCTCACGATTAATTATTGAATATTCCCGCTATTCAATTAATCTAAACTGTGATGTCGTTATGTATGTTTATTTACTAAGGGATGGTATGGACTATGTTAACGAACGCCTTGTATGATTAAGTCACTTTGACTTGCGAGTGACGTCACTTGGTCATACGGCGGTTGTACACGCGCCTAAATGCGGTCTGGGGCGTGACAGCGCCGGTCAGAACTGAACCAGCGCCGGTTTGGCATCATTTTGCCTATATGTTGATTTTAATGCATGAATTGCATGGATGATTATGCTTAGGCCTTAAGACTTGATTTAGGTCTTGATTATTGATTATGATATAGACCATATCTAGTATGCTATGTGGTAGATCATAGGTCGGGTGAAGTACCCAAGGATCGGACATGTATCCTCAAAACTCGGTTATGTCGGGTGGCGTACCTAGGGATCGGGCGTGTATCCTCAAAACTTGGTTACATAGGGTGGAGTACCCAAGGGTCGGTCGTGTATCCTCAAAACTTGGTTATGTAGGGTGGAGTCCCCAAAGATCGGTTGTGTATCCTCAAAACTCATAGATTACAGTTTAGTAATTCAGGACCGGGCGGTGTCCTTATGATATGGTCCAGGAGGAGTCATATACACTCGTAGGTCTATGGAGTGGGTTGGGTGTTTGAGTCAAGGACCTTGGTTATCTACTATTTTCCCAAATAAACGATGACCTACGAGTCGGGTATTTTCAAGTGTATATATGTACCGATATGTATTTTATAATTTGGGGAAAAGTGTATAAGTATATGTATCACCCTATGTTTGAGTCTTATACTCGAAGCATTAGTTATTCAACATTTAGCTTGCTACTCGCTCGGTATTCACGTACCGACCCATTCGGACCCCCACCATTTCAGGTTGAAGCTAGAGCTTGTTATTTACACCTTTGCACGAGTGAAGAGAATCTAGGGGAAGACGTGGTTTGTGCTTCCTTTATTGTTTCAAATTATAAACTATGTTCATGGATACTTTTTTGTAATGAATACTTTGTTTTGGGCCTGCCAGCCTACGTTTTGCCATATATGGCACATGATTGACTATTGAATATTTCCGCTATTCATTCAATCTATGATGTGATGTTGTTATGTATGTTACTCACTGAGTATGAACGATGTTCATGAACGCCTTGTGTGATTAAGTGAGGTTGACTCGTGAGTGACGTCACTTGATCACACGATGGTTGTACACGTGCTTAGATGCGGTCTGAGGCGTGAAAAGATCGGCAGAAGAGCTACGTGGACAAACGACAAAGACAGTTAAAGTTTGAGGTCGGTGATGGGGTATTTCTAAGGATTTCACCATGGAAAGGTATCATCTGATTCATAGCGAGGGGTAAGCTTAACCCACGGTACATTGGTCCGTTTGAAATCCTTGAAAGGTTTGTGGTCGTGGCTTACCGTCTCAAGTCGACACCTGAACTTAAGAAGATTCATGATGTGTTTCTTGTATCGATGCTCAAAAAGTATGTACGATACCCGTCACATATTCTTGAGAAGAACTCCGAAAAATATAAAAGAACTTGTAAAGGTAGATCATCAGGCTTTATTTCATGCAGTACAACAAGTTTTTGATAAAAAACCACGGACTGTAATATAAAACATGTCTCATATCAATCTCATGATAAAAAGAAAACAAATACCTCTTGTCACCAATATCCTTGATTGAAACGTATGTGCTTGGTCTCCAAATAGATGTCATTGTGTCCCTAAACGACATAAATTTGACCGCTTTCTTGGACAGAACAGTTCCCACCAAGGACCACTCAGTCAGCCCGCCTTTCTGCTCTTCCTTCTCGCTGAGATCAGGCATTATCAGGTCCACCTCATCACCTTCCTCCTTCAGTTACAAATGCCCATACCGATCAATCAAACCCTGTTGAGCATCCATCGTAGGAACAAAACGACAGAAAAGCAAAACGGCACACCACAGCAAGCCTTCAGCGAAAATAAGCACAACAGCTTAAATGTAATCTCGTCGATCACCATCGTGGAAAAAGAAAGGAGAAGCCACTATCTAAAGAACAAAACAGCGCACCAAAGCACAAGGTAGAAAAGCAAAGCACCTAAACTAGGGATGGATTCAGGCCGGGTCAACCGGCCCGTAACCGGCCCGACCCGGTACTGTTTCGGCCTCCGGGTAGACCGTGTTTTTTTGAGGCGGGCTCCGGGTCTCAAAATAATGAACCGGCTCGACCGGGCCCGGTCTGAGCCATTTTTTTCCAAATTCTTTGGGAGGTAAATGGGTTGGGCTGGGTGTTTTAGAGGGGTTTGGGATGTGGGTGGGTGGGTGGGGGGGGTAGGAAGTAATTAGAAAAAAATGTACCCGGCCCGACCCGGACCCGATAGCTATCCAGGCCGGTTCCGGGTCTCAACAACACAAAAAAAGCCCGAGCAGGCCAGGCCCGCGGCCTGACCCGGACCGGCCTGATTCCATGCCTAACCTAAACCAAAGCATACCCTAGCAAAAATAAACGATCACCACCAACCTCCATCGTAATGGAATGCTACGAAGAAGAGAAAACGATCCCCACGCTTGGAGAGCGGCGGCCCTAAAACCATACTCATGAATGAATCAGACCGCTATATTACTAGTTATTATGCACATTTAAAACTACACTAATTACTAATATTCTGATTGAAATTATGAACCATGAATGACTCATTTTGTTAAATGACTAAAAGAAATTTAAGATGGTATTCTTGTGAAGAATTAAAAAGTATTTAAGTATGCAAGTTATGAAAGTAATCTAGTTTATAAGAAATAAAATAGGATATTATACATGAAAATGACATATATTAATTGTTTATGACTTAATATATGCTGTATTTAAGTTTCGGAGCAATCAGAGTTGTTTCGGGCGATAAACGAGACGTTGACCCGGTCCAAGACAGTGGGCCGATGCCAATTAAGCCACTGCCGATTCAAATATTATGAAGTGAATCTTGTACTGGCGCCGGTCTGATGAGGTAACCGGCGCCGATTCGGTCTCGGGTTCCAAGACCGTTTTTTTGCTAAAATTGCACTAGGCCCCGTGAGTAAGTTTGAAAGGAATTAAGGGTCAGATTGGTCCTCAAAGTTACATAAAAAGGGTCAAATAAGTCCTTATATAGGAGGCTCTGTTCGGACGTCGCCATTAGGGGCGGTTCCCGATGGATTTTTTTTATGAATTTTTTTGAACATCTTATTCATTAAGTTTAGATTACTCATACCAAATTTCAGCTAAAACTTCAATCGGGAAGGCATTCAAATGAAGTCTTTAAGATAACTGCGCAGTTACCTACAAAAATTCATTTGAATGCCTTCCCGATTGAAGTTTTAGCTTAAATTTGGTACGAGTAAACTAGAGTTAATGAATAAGATGCTCAAAAAATTTCATCAAACAATTCCACCGGGAACCTCCCCAAATGGCAACGACCGGACAGTAAGGACTTATTTGAGCCTTTTTATTCAATTTCGAGGACCAATCTGACCCTTACCTCGTTTTGAAAGTCAAATTTTGATTGAGGTACTAATACAAACTTGTCATTCATATTCATCTTTTTTCGCATTGTGTGACTCAATACCAGTAACTTAGGGTATGTTTGACACAACTAGTTTAAAAGATACTTTTACAGACTTTTTAGTAACCGTTAGTTTTTAGTTACTTAAAAGATCTTAAAAGTAAAAGGTGGTAGCCGTTTGGTAAAAAGCTGACTGTTTGGTTTAGTTCTGTTTGGTATACAAGCTGTTGTGACTGATTAATGTTAAAAGCCACGTACTTTTCTGAGATGCTACTCTTTGTAGCATCTCAAAAAAGATCTTTTTATTTTTTAAAAAGCTCTTTTAGGCACATAGATGTGTCTTCCAAACGTAACCTTAACCTAGTAGACGAGACTGATAGAGCAAATCTCCCACTTCAATCACCATTGTACCGGTAAAACGTCAATTGGGAATCCGGGACAACTGCTTCTTACAAAACTTATCCAGGAATAATCAATCCAAAAAGGAAAAACAAGAACATAAGACCTCAAAAACACATTCTAATGCCCTCCATGAAATAAATGGTGTCACTCGCCTTGCCATAAATACTCACAAATAGGGCACACCCAGATCAGAAAAGGACATGTTCTGCAAATGGGTCGCAGTTGTTGTAGAAGGCCCAATATTAGAGTGGGGTTTTGATTGATACGGAGATATTGTGCCCGTTGATTTCCTGGAATTTTTGGGGGCGTGTAAGAATTGAAGTGTGGGAATATCAAGGAGTAGCAAGCGTGTCTAGGATGGATCAGTATGAGATAATGGAGCAGATAGGGAGAGGAGCGTTTGGTGCTGCCATTCTAGTTCATCATAAACAGGAGAGGAGAAAGTATATATTTTTTAGTTTTTTTACTTGAATATGCGAGGCAAACCCATCGCTTTTTTCTGTTCCAAGAATTGATGAGTTTTTTTGTTTGTTTGGGTTCTTTTTTGTGTGAAATGGTAGATATGTGTTGAAGAAGATTAGATTAGCTCGACAGACTGAGCGTTGCAGAAGATCTGCTCATCAGGAGGTTCGTTTATCTTACGATGGATCTTAGCATTGATGCTAACTTTATTGATTTATTAATTTATCTACCTATTAAATGCATTCATGTCATTCCACTCAGATTTGTTTGAAACAGTTACTTGAAAAATGAAACTTTTTATTCACTGCAAGTGCCTACTTCTATGGATAACAAATGTCAAGAAAATGTTTCCCAATTTCTTTCATATCACAATGAACTATTCTAAGACTTACAGTGACACTTTGTTTGGCCCAACTAGCTATGGCTTAAGGCTATTATCTGAATCAGGGGCCACTGTTTTAGATCGTGGGCTTGATCTGGATTAGGGTTGCTAATGTTAACTCGATGAAGTAGACATATTTGATGGAAAAGCTTCAATTGGGACCGTAGAATTATAAACATAATTCTCATTGTGAGGTTTTGATTATGAGAAGTTACACGAATTCTACAGGGTAATTTGAAAAGCTAAAAACATCAACTTTTCACTTCAGCTAAGTTCTTTCAGCTTGAGCATGATTCAGTTGCTCATCCATATGGGGTTGAAACTAAATATGTGACTGTATTTAAATCCTTCTGGCCCAAAATGTGCTGAACTTTCCTACGAAACATACATACATACACTGAACTGCTAGTCTTCATATGTCCTTTATATGCAATTATTGAATATTTAAATCAATCAGTATCCTAGGTTAATCTTAATCTGAAAATATGTTTCCCATTCTCATTTATGGCTGCCTCTGTTCAAGATCCTATATACTCATTATTGTATGAAAATACTTTATTCATGTGAGATTCTTATATGAATCTCGTCAAAATTTGAGTTTATAGATGGCACTAATTGCAAGGATTCAACACCCTTACATTGTTGAATTCAAGGAAGCGTGGGTGGAGAAGGTGAGATGCACCGTGTTCCAAATTGAACCACCACTTTTTAACAGTACAATTATAATAAGTGAAAAATAATTTAAGTACTCCAAAATTTGGAAGGGTGTAATTTAAATACCCGAAACTCGCATGTGTGAGATAAATATCATAAACTATATATTAAAGGTGATCTTAGCACCATGGACATATGATTTTATTTAATAAATGTAAGTTTATAGTGTTAAGTGCGTAATTTAAATACTCTGAATATACTACGCATATAACAGTGCACTTAACATCCAAAGCTTGTATTTGTAAAATAAATAATTTGAGTTCATGGCACTGAGATAATCTATAATGCATAGTTTATAGTATTATTTTACACATGGAAGTTTGGGGTATCCAACTCACACTTTTCCAAAATTTGGAGTATTAAGTTATTTCCCATTTCCCACCTAATAATGATAAAATTTGCTTGGCTGTTCATATGTGTCTAATGCAGGGCTGCTATGTTTGTATCGTTACCGGCTACTGTGAAGGCGGTGACATGTAACTTCAAATTATTCTGAATATTAATTTGTATGCTTCGAATATTATTTTTATTGTTGCAACCGCAAAAGTTTAAGTTTCTTTTATCGTTCAATTTATATAGGGCTGAATTGATGAAAAAAGCTTATGGACAATATTTCCCTGAAGAGGTATGTTATCGATAAATTAATATGTTTAGTTTAACTTCAGGTTTGGCAGTTCCTTTTGTGTATGCCTGTATGTCATTTATATTATTCTGTATTAAAAATGAAAACATATGGTTTTATATTAGCTCTAAATGTTTTATTAACATCGTTGAAACTGAAATCATGTTATAAAAAACAATGCAAGCTATAAATTCCTGTTTCCAACAAGTTTCAAAATTCTTTATTTTCAGTTTATGGAAACTACTAATGACTACAGCCACACACATTCGCTTGTCTCAATTTCCAGAAAAGTGAAAACAAAAACCGATGCCTAGCAATGTGTATGATATACTCCCTCCGTCCCGCTAAGATTGTCTCATCTTTCCTTTCCGGTCCATCAAACTAAGATTGTCTCAAACCAAATTTGGTAAAATTTGTGTGGTTCTAAATCATTCTTGCTTCATTCTTACTTTATCAATTCAATATCAACCACGTAAACCTGCTTTTCTTAATAACCGCACCACCTCCTCATGTCCCAATGTTAGTGGGATGGAGGTAATAGTTATTAATGTTTCCCTTTATTTTCTGTTTGTTGTTGTTGTTGTTTGACCATTAGAAACCATATTTTGAGTGTTGGTGCATATACTTATATGAATTAAAAACAAAATTTTGAGTTTTTGATGCAGAAACTTATGAAGTGGTTTACTCAGCTACTCTTGGCAGTTGATTATCTACATTCGAATTATGTTCTACACCGTGACCTCAAAGTATTTATTATATTGTCTCATTATATTGCATGATTGGTATGCACAGTTACATTAGTAATAAATTTATCCTGAGTTACTCCTTCATGACTTGATTATTATTGCAGTGCTCTAACATCTTTCTTACCAAGGATCAAGATGTTCGCCTTGGTATGTTTTTTTTTCATCTGTTCAATTTCACCGGCAGTCCATCTCTTTATGACAAATTGCTCCCATTCAAACAGGGGATTTCGGACTTGCTAAAACAATGAAGGCAGATGACTTGGCCTCTTCAGTATGCGTTAAATATTGAACTACGAGTTTTAAGTTATTATTATTTTTTATCTTTTTGTAAATGACTATGTAAGCAATATGTGCTATTGTGCTAAATTTTTGACTTCTTGATTTATTTACTATTCTTTTAATCTTTTGTGGTTTTTTCATCTTCAGGTTGTTGGAACTCCCAATTACATGTGCCCTGAACTTCTTACCGACATTCCTTACGGTTTTAAATCAGATATATGGTCTCTAGGTGGGTTTAATATTTTAAGGCACTTTGATCCATCATTATATTGTATTATTGTAGGTTGGTTAGTCTTAAGACTCAAATCTCCATCCTAAAAGATCAACTTGATACGAAGAATAACTCAAAGTCTATTTTACTGTTTCATACCAATCAGGCTTGAGACAAATACATCAACACGCCCCTCAGCCCAAACAGACCCTTAATGAGTTACCCTTAAAGTTGTTTACTTATTTGGAAAATGGTCAAATACACCCTCATACTATACCTAGTGTATCACTCCAACCATCCACTAAAAAAGCATCACATAAATTTATATATCATCAATTGAGTCCACTTACCGAATGACAACCCTCAATAGTAGGTCATAGACTGATTTGACATGAATTTGTCCCTTTTTATTTACATTTTTCCATTTTCTTTTCTTTTTCTCTCCCTTATGTGTCAATGTGTGTCTTGTACTACGTATTGTATTTCGTATCCTTCGTATAGTTCCAGACTTTCCATTTTTTTACGGAGTATTTTTCTATTCTTCTAACTTTTCTATTCTTCTAACTTTTCATTAATATATAGTTATATACCATATATATAATTTTATATAATTTTATATATATGTGCCAAGGATTCATTATTTTTTGGCTTGAGATTATGATGGAATAAAGCAAAATGACTCACTAAACTGTCTGCGCTTCTTTGTTATGAAGCAGCAGTCAGTCCATGCAATTTTGGACGGGATTTTCACTATGGGTCATCCGGAAACAGTCTCTCTGTGCTTTAGTACAGGGGTAAGACTGCGTACATCCGACCCCCCCTTACCCCACCGTAGCTGGGAGCCTTTGCGGCATTGGGGTAAATGAAAATGAAATGATACCATATATATAATTTTATATAAACAAATTTCGATTCTAGAATTATTTTTCTGATTTTTATCAAATCTTTCTCTAATTCGATCAAGATTAAATTTGGTTTTGTCATTTCAGAACTTTTTAGGAGTATGAATTATACACTTTTCGTTTACATGTTCAAAATTCTTTGCACCAACACTGTTTTAGACACAATAAAAAAGTATATTGTTTTAAAAAAATCGCACCAATAATTGTCTCTAAATTTTTTCAATAGTTTTATTTATAACAAAAGTATATAAATAAATAAAATATTTATAAATTATTAATAAAAACGTGAAACAACTAAGTAAAATAAAAAAAAAAATATTTTTTTAAAACAAAAAAACATAAAAGATAAAAGAAAATACCTAAAGAATATTTAAAAATATGTAGGCCTGTGCAGCTGCACCCTCCACCTCTCATCACCACCAGCTCTGGTTGCCGGAAAAAAAATTTCATCTTGTGTAAAAAATGTCATATCCCTTTGAAAATGTCATGAGGATGACATTTTTACTCTTTGAAAATGTCCAATTTCCTTTTCAAACTTACCATCACGTTGACTTTTCTGGAAGTTAGCATTTTTTTCTGGTGACCGGAGGTGGCAGTGGTGGAAGGTGGTTGATGTGGTGGTCGAGGCCTATATATGTATTTATTTATTTTTATGTTTTTTATGTTTAATTTATTAATACTATTTAAAAAATCCTATTAAGCATGGCAAGGAAAAGGGTAGAATAGGAATAGTTAGTCGTATTTTGAGAATTTAAATGTTATACTCCTATTTAAGAAATTGTCCATTTTTTTATCTATGCCAGACTTTTATAGTATGAAAGTTTTGATTTTTCCGACCAAGATTTTTTGTCCGTGTTCAACTTTTACCGAAAAAATTGCCGGCACAAAGAATTTTGACAATGTGTACAAAAACAATACATTTTTGGTCATTGCAAAAGCATTTTTATCTGTGTCGAACATTTAATGCAAATATAATTTGAATTTTTCAATCAAAATTTTTTATCCATGTTGTACCGACAAATTTATTGGTGCGATTTTTTTTAAAACAATATTTTTTTTATTGCGTCTAAAGTTATAACCCAGATCGTATCAAAAATTGTAAAAGTTAACGGTGTTAGTTCAGATTTGACGGTGGGGATCACATTTACAACAACTCGAACAATTGAGGGATGACATTTATAAACTCAAAAACATGAGCACTAATTTCTATGTGGGTACTATATGAGAGATCGGAAGTACGATTTCTCCATATATTAATGGAAAGTCATAAAAATAGGGGAAAAATTAGATCTCAAATTTCGTAAATTTAAATAAGAGACGTCAAGTATAACAAGGGAATTTGTTTTCTACATTCTATCTAGTGCAAGACAAACAAATTAAAAAAGAAAATGAAAAGAAAGAAATAATACGAACTTACAAAATAATAGAAAGGAAGAGAGAAAGTCAGTCACGAAGGAGGGAACCACGTAATACATAGTATTTTGTACATATACTTCGTATGAAATATTGTATATATTGTGAAACAAAAGAAAACTGGAACACGTAAATAAAAATGGAAAGGATATGTCACATCAACCAAAGACTTGCTATAGGGAGTTGCCATCCGGTAACTTGAGCCAATTGATGTTTTTTAGTAATAAGTGTATTTGTTTGATACTTTTTTAGTAGAAGGGTTGTAGTGATTTATTTGACAGTAAGTGAGTGTATTTGACCCTTTTTCCTACTTTTTTTCATCAAGTCCTAAATGGATTGAGACATCTGTGAGACATATGTCTGTCTACATTAAGTGACATTGAGAAGTTTGAATTATGTTAAATGATCAAATAATCCTTCAGTCTGGAACAAGTATTGAACGTATATAATGTATAAATAGAAGAGTATATAATGATCAAATAACCCTTCTGTCTGTTTACTTTCCTTGCGTAAAAATCATTATACTATGAATTACCTAAATAAAAGAGTCACATAAAAAAAGTAAATTTTCACAACATTTCCTACTAGTCTATTAGCAATTTTGTCCCACAAAGGTGTCATATATTGTAGACTTTGTGTACCCCATTGTGTGCCGTCTACTTCTTCTCCAATGTCTTTGCCTTCTTTTTATGCTTCATTGTTGAATATATTGTCATCGTCCCATTCATCGTATAAGTCATCTTGAATGTTACTTACTCATAAAATTATGAACAAAAAAACATGCAATTACCATAGTCCTTTGTATCAGAAATGGGTAAGAAACCATCTCTTTTAAGATTGGAAACCTTGCTTTTAAGACACCGTAAGTACGTAGATTGACATTCCGAAGTTGTGCATGCGCAAGATTGAATTTTTCTTCATTAGTCAATGCGCGCTGATGTTGAAATTATGTTAACCAATACAAAAAATTATGAAATAAAAAATCCACGAGTATTTGCATATGCAACATCACAAAGATAGTATTTATCTGTAAAAAATTAAAGTTTTAGAAATTTTTTATGGTAGCCCGGCACCGTACTTTGTCTCAAGATCGTAATAATTTTTATTTGCTTCCGATTAACAACAAAATGATGAGTATTTTTTAAAACATCAATGACTTTCTTCCAAGAAAGATCTTTCACCTAAACCCTAGTTGTATTGGGCTTAGCCCATTTTGTATAAGAACCCTAATACTCTAATATAGCTATAAATATAGCTTACTTGTATAGCTTTTTTTATATGAAGAATAATGAATATAATCATACTTCATATGGTATCAGAGCCAATATGGCAATTATTAGTGTAGTGTTATGATTTTTCTGCCAGTGTGTATTTCCGGCCAGAAATTCCGACGTGAACAGTATCGCGACTTTCAATTGAGTGCTTTCGGTAGTGATATCAGCCTACCGCCATGCTCAAGGCTACATCGCGACTCATCGCTGGAAGAATCACCTACACTGCATCAACCACGCGCCGCCATGTGTCGCTGAAGTCCACATCTGCAGTTTTACATTTATGCAGATCTCTCTCTTTCCACTTATTTGGTGTTGAAATCTCCAACCACCGGCGGTTCCTGAGTTTTCGGCGACCAGAACAACGTAGACATCGCCGACATAAACTGACTCACGCGCCGCCGCCGCCGCCGTCGAACGCCGCCGTTGAACGTCGTCGCCGAATGCGCCGCTGCCGAAAGCCGCCGAATGTCGTCGTCCTGCTGTGAAACCGTCCTAAGTGTGACTTCTGTCATAAGATTGGTCATACTAAAGACAAGTGTTGGAAGTTACATGGGAGACCTCTTAGCTCAGCCAATGTTGCTTAGATCCCGTCATTTCCGGTTGTTCTATCTCCAACTGAATATGCAGCGTATCCGAAATTTAAGTCGAGTACCATGCTTGAATCTACACCTGATATGTCTACTGTTTGTGTTTCAAACACCACAGGCTCATGGATTCTTGACTCTGGTGCCTCAAATCATATTTCTAATAATCCCCATCCTTTATCTCGTATTAGCAAGCACCAACACGGCAACACCTTCCTTTAATTACTCTCGCTAATGGCCTTCAAACTTCGGCCACAGACATTAGGCAAGCACTTCCACTTTTCTCCTTACCATTAGACTCAATCTTATATGTTCCTAATAGCCCTTTTAACCTTATCTTTGTTAGCAAAATCATGCGTGCTCTTGATTGTTCTATAACCTTTTTTGGTGATTCTGTGACTATGCAGGACCATTGTACGGGGAAGACGATTGGCGTCGGACATGAATCTCAAGGCTTGTATCATCTTCATCCTTCTAATCCAATTGATTGTGGGTCGGTTGATCGTGCCATTACCGTACATAATCATTTAGATCATCATAGCCTCACCTCTCAAAGTTTCGACGTCTTATTCCAGGTTTCTCAAGTCTTTCATCTTTAGAGTGTGAGTCATGTCACCTTGGAAAGCAACCTCGTAAATCCTTTCCATGGCGGGTCAATAAACGGGCTGTGTCCTCTTTTGATTTAGTTCATACAGATGTATGCGGTCTTTATCGAGTCACTTCTACTTTAGGATTTCGTTATTTTGTTATTTTTGTGGACGATTTTTCTCATTACACATGGTTGTTTTTAATGAAAGAGCGTTTTGAATTATTTCATATTTTTCATTTTTTTGTGCCGAAATTCA